CAAGCAGATAAACCAATAGGGAAGATACTAATAACAGAAGGGAACGTGGCCTTCAATTCAGCTAAACAAATCCAGATATCTATGAATATCACAAAACTAAGGAAAATGAATCAATACGTGATGAGATTCTGTAGATTCTCTGTAGATTCTCAAGACAGCAGAGAACCACAGCAGGATGTTCCTGAATAGTTTGAGAGAAATAAAAATTGTGAAGGCAGAATAGAAAAACTTGAATCCAAAAAAAAGAAAAGAAAATCCACAGCGGCCAGTCTTACCAAAAGAACTAAAGAGAAACTGAAGTGCAGGACAAAGTGGAAGAAGAGAAGTAAAACACAGTTACATTCAAAGAAAATATCAATTCTACATAAGAAAAATATTGATTTCGAAGACAGGATATGTAGGGACAACTTAAGGACTAAATGTCTTCCAGAAGAATGCCACAAGTCAAAATCCAATGGGCAGTTGGAGATGCAAGACTGGAGATCAGGAATGAACAGAGATCCAAGTTGTTGATGTTCTCAAATTTCTCAAACACTATTCTACTATTTCTGGGCCTTATGTGCCTAATCTGTTCCAATGATCAACTTTTAAATCCATTCTAAGTATTTTTTTTTTCTTGGTGAGGGCAATTGGGGTTAAGTGACTTGCCCAGAGTCACACAGCTAGTGAGTGTTGTGTGTCTGAGGCCGGATTTGAACTCAGGTCCTCCTGACTTCAGGGCCAGTGCTCTGTCCACTGTGCCACCGAGCTACCCTATTCCAAGAGCTTTTGATGGCTACTGCTTGGTAGTATAATTTGATCTGGTACTGCTAGGCCCCCTTCTTTCCCACTTTCTTTCATCATTTCCCTTGAGATTTTTGATCTACTCCTCCAGATGAAAGTTGATTATTATCTCATCTAATTCTATAAGGCAACCTGTGGTAGTTTGATTGCTAGCACTGAATATGTAAAGTGCTGTTTTTTTTAGTATATTTGCACAGCCCAACCATGAACAATTAATGTCTCCAATTATTTAAGTATGTATTTCTGTTAAGTGTTTTGTAGTTGTATTCTTATATTTTGTGTGTGTCTTGGCAGGTTACATCTAATATACTTTATATATATTCTTCAGTTATTTTGAATTTTTTTAAAAAAATCTCTTTCTGCTGGATTGTGTTGGTACTATACAGAAAAGTCAATGGTTTCTGTAGGTTTACTTTATATTCTGCTACCTTGCTAAAGTTAGTTTCAATTTTTGGTTGAATCTCAAGTTCTCCAAGTAAACCATATAGATCACTGTGTAGTTTTTGTTATTAATAAGGTCTACCATGTTTTTAACTTTCCTAATATTGAACCAGCCCTGCATTCTTGGTACAAATCCAGACTGGTCAGACTGTGTACTCCTTTTAATATGATTGTATAGCCTCTTTGCTAATATTCAGTGATTCAATATTTTTCACTGATATCCATCAGATATTAATTTATAGTTTTCCTTCTGTGCTTTCTTTCTACCTGGTTTAGGTATCAAGACCATATTTGTCTCATAAAAGGCGTTTGGTAGGATGTCTTCTTTCTCTTGTTTTGCAAACAATTTATGTGTAATACTATGTTAATTGTTCTTTGAATGATAGAATTTGCTTATAAATCCATCTGTGTTTGGAGTGTTTTTTTCTTATTTCTTAAAAAAAAAAAGGTATTCATTTTATTTTTTGCACCATCTTTTCCCAGTATTCCCTCCTATCTCAATAGAACAATTCTAACAAAGAGGCAGAGTTAAGGTTAGTTTTCTGAAGCCAAGATTAGACAAAGGATATAATCTGATGTCTCAGTGTGATTTTCATATACATTATTATCATTGTGCATATCATCTTATTCTACTTTTCTTTGCTCTCCATCAACTAATATGTTTCTATCAAATCAACATTTATGTGTCAGGCATTGTGCTAAGTATTTGGGATAAAAAGAAAGGGAAAATGGTCCCTCCTCTCTAATGGGGGAAGATAACATACAAACAGCAACGTACCCTCAAGATATATACAGGGTAAATTGGAGGTAATCTCAGAAGGAAGGAACTAGCATTGAAGGGGAATGGGAAAGACTATGACCTGAATGAAGTGAGGAAAGCCAGGAAAAAGAGATGAAGATGGAGAAAAGAGATGAAGATGGAGATCATTCCAGGAATGAGGGACAGCCAGTGAAAAGGAAGTCAGGAGATAGAGTGTCTTGTATGAAGAATAGCAAGGAGTCCAGTGTTTCTGGATCAGAGTACATGGAAGTGGGTCAGGAGTAAGAAGATGAGAAAGCTAGAAGGGCCCAGGTTGTGAAAGGATTCTTGTATTATTTCTTAATTCTGTCCTCAATTTTCTCTGAATTCTTCATCTTATTTTCTGTAGCTCAATAGTATTTCATTAAATTTATATACCACAAATCCCCAACTGATTGGCACCCATTTTATTTCTACCTTTTTGCTACAAAAAAACAGTGCTGCCACCAATATTTTGGTATATATGAGTTCTGTCCTTTTAAATGCATTTCATAACTCACATCATTTTATTACCACCCCCATCATATTGATCTTTTGGGGTACAAGCCTAGTAGTGTTATATATCTGGGTCAAAGGCTACGAACAGTTTGGCAACTTTTCTCAAACAAGTCCAAATGGTTTCCCAGGATGGTTGGACCAACTCATATTAGTGTGCTTAACTGCCCACAGCATGCTCATCTGCCCATCTGATGGATGTGAGGGGAAAACTTCAGAGTTGTTTAATTAGCGATTTGGATCATTCCTTTGTGAATATTGATACTTTGTTTCTTCTCTGTAATTCTTCTTTTAAAAAGACTTTGTTCATATCCTTTGACTCCTGTTGACCAGATGCTCACTTGCAGAGAGCTGTTGTGAGCCCAGGGCTCTAGGATTGAACATGATAGACACTGAGGTGTGGGAACCAGTGGGCCTCAGGCCAGGGCATAAAAAGTATAATGGTAGAGGGTGGGCTGTGGTGGGGCATACATATGCCACAACATGGTCAGATAGGGACCGTAAGCTACTGGGACACATGGGAACATCTTGGTGAGGAAGAAGTCCAATTAGGTGGAGTCATTTGGATGCCAGCCTAAGCCTAAGGGTTCTGGGATTGTGTTTAACAATGATGTTATGGGGGGTGTGGAGTAGGTGTCCATGTAGATAAAAGGCTTATGAGCAGAGATAATAGCTGCAAGCTAAAGGTGGGCTTACAATGTCTCAGGTATCACTTGTTGGCCACCATCTTGAGTCCAGAACTCTAGGAAAACATACTGGGATCTTGGGGATCCTCTGTGTGGAACACAATAGGCATACTATAATGGGCTTGCAAAAGTATATGTAAAGTACAGTAAGTCTACCCCTCAGGGTACGGAAAAGGTTGTTTTATTGGAGGGATATACCAGTACAGAGGTAGAGGCAACCAAAATTGGCCTATCTGGCCTTCCCCATATGTGACATTGGTACCTTATGTTGCAGTGGATAGATTTGCAATCAGATGTAGGTTCAAAACCCAGCTCTGCCACTTATGAACCATGAGACCTTGGGCTTCAGTTCCCTTATCTGTAAGATGGTGGTGTTGGGATTGGATGAACTCTCAGAGGTCCCTTTTAGTTGAAGTCTCAAATTCCCTGACCCACCCCCAGTAGAAGATAAACTCCCTGATGATGGGGGCTATTTTCATGGTTTTGCTTTTATCTCCTGTGCCCAGAACAGCTAGGTGCTCACTGAGTGCTTGCTGAATTCAGAAAGTACAGGTCTAGAATTCACCATAAAAGTGGCAGCTGAAACCACAAGTTAATGGAATTGCCAAGAAAGAGAAAAGTTTTGGCTTAAGTCAGATGCTTAGCAAATAGTTTCATTAAGAGGCTGGAAGGAGGGGGTGCCAGGGTACACAGAATGCTGGGCCTGGAGTCAGGAAGATCTGAATTCAAATCCAGCCCCAGACAATGATTAGCTGTGTGACCTGGGGCAAGTCATTTCACCTTTATCTGCCTCGGTTTACTCCTTTGTAAAATGGGGATCATAAGAGCACCTACCTCCCAGTGCTGTTATGAGGATCAAATGGGATATTTGTAAAATGCTCTGCAAACCTTAAAGTACATAATAGTATCTGTGTAAGATACCAGCACTACAAAAGCTCTCGGTCTAGAGTCAAAGGAGCTGAGTTCAAGTCCTGACTGATACTTACTATCTGTAAGACCTTAGGCAATTCATTTAACTTCTCTGCCACCAGTTGCATTTATACAGTGAGGGGGTTAGTCCCTTCAAGTTCTATGATTCTATAAATATCTGAAGGACTGTCAAGTGGGAGAGGGATAAGACACTATGCTGCTTAGCTCCAAGGGGCAGAAGTAGGAACGATGGGTTGGGCTGAAATTGCACAAAGAAGGATTTAGGTTTGATGTAAGAAAAACTTACCAATTCACTGAAGGACATGGACAGGAGTCCCACAGGATGGGCAGGAATGGAGGGGTTGCAATCTGCTTGGTTGGAGGGAACATTGATATCAATGAGATCCCAGATCCACCTTCTTCCCCGACACTGCTGTCCCAAAATGTGGCTGCATTTCTGGAGGAAAAGGCACCTGCCATTGGCACCTTCAAGTGGAGACTGGATGGCCACTTATTGGGAATGTGGTAGAGGGGGCTCCTGGTTGGCAGACAAGTAGAACGGATGGACTCAGGTCCTGTGAAATTCAAACCTGATAATCCATTATCTTTGTGTTCAGGTGGAACTGAATTTAATTTTCATTTCTGTATGCACTCATCCTGTAGGTTCCCATAAGATCTTCAGTAACTGGAGAAACGAATCATCTTAAAACTCTTCAAGATGTCACTCACAGTCCCCAGTGGCTCAGATGCCTTTCGGTTGCTCAGGCAGCACTTTTAAAATGGACTTTCCTCACTATCCAAACACTGCCCCACTCTGGCAGAGGTAAACAACCTCCTGGCTGCCAAAATGAAGTCATTGGAGCAAATGTTTTAAAAACAAAGGCCACTCACATTTCTGTGTCGTTTTATTTCAAGAGGTGAAGCTTTTCAATTACGCTGTCAATGAACTTTAAGACAAGAGCATCTTTGTTAAAAGTGGTTTTATACAGAAAAAGAATCAAGAGCAAAGTCAATTCCCTGAAACATGCAGTTAGGTGCACTGGTAACTTGGTGCAGGTGTGGACACAAAAGGGAATTGGACTTTGAAGCCATTTGCTTCTGAGTAAAGCTATTTTGGTGGTTATAACCCAAGGAAGCACAATTCTGTTCTGGACCAAGTAGGTTAAAGTAATATTAAAAAAAAAAAAGTTTTGAAAGGGCCACTGTGATAGACCTGACCAATGGGCATCAACAACATGGGGGGCAAGGGAGACAGTAATACTTTCAATGTGTATTTTGGGTTAAGGGAAGGGGGTGAAGGAGCAGATACCAATAAAACAGTGTGAATTATGGAATGCAATTAAAAGGATAGGCACTGTGAGCCACATGAAGTGATGCATATATAGTCAAGGCACATGGTTGGGATAATTCAAGAGGAGCCACAATCTGAAGAGAATGGAGCACAGACACTAATTCTTCAGTTAACAAAGGAGTCAAAGCTTCATATAATCTCACTGAAGGCCACTTACTGAGAAATCAATAGACGGACCCCTGACTCCCTTTGAAACACACATAGCAACTTCCTTGATAGCAGGTGTGTCATTTAAACTACATGACCTCTAGCCAAGTTCCAAGATGGGCTCACTACACTGCTTTCTGTTCCTTTTGTGCACCATACTATTTGCTTTCTTTCCATCTCCACTCTAGTCAAATGATTTTTGAAATCATTAACATTTTTAAAGGAGCCTGCCCTCTTTGCCACCAATGAAGGCTGTTTAGCCACCGAAATGTGCTTTGCTTGGTGACCTGAGCTCTGGCCAAGTATTTGCTAAATCTCTTGTCCAGCTGTAGAAAGACACTTAACGTGCACAGGCCTAGCCTTGAAGGATGTGCAGTCTGTAGCTGAGCAGCAATAAAAGCCAATATAGGGGATGGGGAGAGAGGTACTCTCAGCTACCACACCAGCTCTACTGCTGACTTGGTATTCAGTTTATTCATTCAAAGCAACACAACTGTCAAGCCCCCATAAGAAAGAGACTTTCTGTGTTCTACTTAAACAACTTCCAAGCCAATCCAAGCTGTTAAGAGTCTCTCTTCCTGCATCATTCTTGGCCAAAACACTTCTACCACTTTGGGAACAAGAGGGTTGATCTGAAGAGCCCCTCCCCCCAAGAGGACAAAAACATTTAAACACACAACAGGGAAAGTAGCAACATTGATCCAACTTTGGACATGAACGAAACCATCACTTTTTCAACTCAATCGCAACAGAAAAGCAGAGGAACAGTTTGGTCCATTTTTCTGAACTGGATGCCAGAAAATACCATGCGGGATGAATGGACTTGAGGAATTCCAACAGGTCCTTTCTGTTAATCATTGATCTGATCCTCACCTGGTTAGCAATGATAGGTCTTGAGTGGGCTCTAAATGAACAGACGGACAGCACCAATCCTGGAATTCCAACCCCCCAAAGAAGCAAAGGTGTGCCCCCACTACTGATTCTCTACTCGGAATGGTGTCCGTCCATACATATCAGAAGGGATGAGGCTGAGATGCATCGTTTGGATTCCATTAAAGTGCAAATGCTTCGGTGTATATGGTCACACCAATATGTGTGCCCTCTTTATTCCCAAATAGCAGTTGGAGACCTGGGTGGCTCCATCTGGGTAACAGCAAAAAGTTCAAAATGACAAGTCCCTTTCCAACCAAGGTGGCAGTGGCGCAGAAGCAGTGACTGGATGGCTCCATTTGGGGGACACTGGGATACACAAAGAAAAGTGCAGTCTGGGGATGATGGAAGAAAAGTGGAAGGAAGGGATGGACAGTAGCAATCAGGAAGAAGTTACTTGGGTTGCTTCTTAAATCCTTGCTCCCTCATATTCTTGGCTTAAGATTGTTCTGAATTTATTTCACCACACAGCTTGGCCAGGTAAGCCCACCACAGGCAACTGAGACAACGACGTAGATGAAGATCTGGGAAGAAATGACATTTCTGTTCATGAGCAAAGTACAGAGTACATTAGGACATTCCATCCAAAGTCCATTCCATCCAAAGTCCATTCCATCAGGAATCACCTCACTATACCCCACTGATCCCATCGTTTTGAAATCAATAACAAGTCATGTCTGTAAAGTACTTTAAGGTTTGCAAACTGCTTTCCCCTTATGATAACCCTGGCAAGGCGGCTTGAGCATGTTAGTATTATTCTCATATTCCAAAGCAGAAATTCTAAGCTCAGGGACCACTTGCTGATGGTTTATTCAGCTACTAAGTCTCTCAGCTAGACCTTGAACCTTGGACTTCTGACTCCAAGATCAGCTCTTTCTACCCTTTTATGCTTCCTCTCAAGTTACACTTCCTTCCTATACAAATTGATGGGCTATTAGGTCTCATTGATCAAACTGATAAATTCAGAATTTGTCTAATTGTTTTTTTTTTTTAAAGTCAGGCACTAATTCCTTTGACAGAACTGGAGTTTATGACATTTCAGGTGCAAATGTTAGTGGTAGTTGGTGCCATCTCCTGGCAAAATGTACCACATCCCATAGAGTAGAACAACATGCTCATGTCTGACATATTAAGGGAAACTGAGGATGTTTGAAGATATTTAGGTGAAGTTCAAAGGCAGGAAAAATAGAAGAGAATTTGTTAACTGAATATATTACAGACTACTTGTAAAGAAAGAAAAAAATGGATGAGTTACCTGGAATGCACGTCATAACTCTGGCATAGATGAGAGATTTCTTGATTTGCTGATGATAATTTTATCCTTTGAAAGTTAGATGGGGAAATTCTTTTCTGAATCTGATTTTCACTACTACAGAGGAACTAGTTACTAGGGCAGAGATGATGGGAATACTGGGGGTAGATGACCACCACAGAAGGAGAGGAAATTTGGGCATAATCTGACATGTTATTTGGAATTTGGGGAAAGCAGACTTCAAAGGCAGGATAGGGATGCTCTCATGGGCTAAAATGCTTCAGGGGGAATCAGCCCAGGAGAAAGGGGAGATGCTCAAGAAGGAAATTCTAAGGATACAAAGGGAAACAATTCCAATGAGAAGGAAAAATGGGATTTGAGAACATACAAATGCATAGGAAATCTACCAACTGACTTAGATTTTAAAAAGGCAATACATAGCAATGAGGCCAGAGAGAAGAGGATAGGGGAGTATAGCACTTGGTGTAGGTGGACTCTCTGCCACCTTTTGGCGAGGCCTAGTGACCTCCAAGCAGGTCCAGTGTGAAGCTAGGTGACATATGAATGCCAGGGTCTGGATCCAAAAGGATCTTAAAAGAGGAGAACCTTGGGGTGAATCTTGTAAGATGAAATTCAATAGGGTTTAATGTAAAGTCTTGTACTTGGGTAGAAAAAAAATCAGCTTCCCCAGCATAAGATGGGAGAGATTTGGTAAGATAGCAGCAGTTTGTCTGAAAAAGATCTGGGGGTTTTAATGGACTGCAGGCTTGGTGAGTCAGCAGTGTGATGTGGCAGCTAAAAAAGCTAATGCAACTTTGGGCTGCCTTAAAAGAGGTCTAACTTCCAAGACTAAGGAGGTAACAATTCCTTTAGACCCTGCCCTTGTCAGACCAGACCTGGAGTATTGTGTTCAGTTCTAGGCAACCAGGATGGTGGCTGGCCTTCTGTCATGTCATATGAGGAGTAACTGAAGGAACTGGATATGTTTAGCCTTGGGAAGAGACAACTCATATGGAACATGATAGTTTAGATTCAAGTATTTGAAGAGCTGTCATGTGAAACAAAGATTAGACTTGTTTTGCTTGGCCCCAGTTGCCAGCAAAAAATGGGTAGAAGTCGTAAATTTGGGTTTGATGTCAGAAAAAACTTCCTAACAATGAGAGCAATCCCCAAGTGGAATGGGCTGCCTCCAGAAGTGGTGGGATTCCCCTCCTTGGAAGGCTACAAACAAAGGCTGGACTACTTGTCAGGTATTATAGTAAATTGGACTGATAAAGTCCCTTCTACTCTCAAATTCTGTGATTCCCATGATATAATATTTTTAAATTTTTACTTAAAATGTTTATTGATTTATTTTGCTTTTACTTTCATTTTCAAGTATTTCTCCTCTTTTTTCCCATAGCCAGGGAACCATCCCTTGGAACAAAGAATGAAAAAAGGAAAAAAAAAGCTATTTGGTAAAACCAATCAATACATCAATCAAGTCAACCACACATACCAGTCATCTCACCGACAAAGAAGAGATCTTAACCATTTATCATCTAATCCAACCCTTACCTGAAGCGAATGCTACTTGACAATATATTCACTAGGGCTTTCATTCTTCTAATGATGGAGAATTCATGAGCTATCATGGCAGCTATTCCTTTCCTGGACAGTTCTACTTCTTAGGAATTTCTTTATATTAAAGCAAAATCTGCCATCATATAATTTCTATCTCTCAGTCCTAGTTCTGCCTTCTGGGACCAAACAAAATAATTTTAATTCATCTGGACTCTCCCACTTTACCCTTTCTGGTCCTCAATTTCTTCATCCGTAAGATGATAGGGATGAAGTCAAAGTCTCTTGTAGCTCTAAATCTTAGCTTCCTAATCTTTTTTCAACATGATAGCTCTTCAAACATGTGAAACCAATAATTCAGTCTTTCTCCCAATCCAAACCCCAAATCCTCTCTTTCCTAGGTTAGATGTCAGTTCCTTTAACTGAAACTTACATGGCACATTTTAGGGTCTTCACTCCTCCCCAGAAGTTTAGTCACCTTCCTCTGGAAGTAACATAGCTTTTAGTTACTGTCTCTCTTTATATGTGGCACCAAGAAATGACCACTCCCAATATTGTCTGGACCAGGGCAGAGGACAGCAGGGCTAACATTTTCCTTGTTCTGGTCATTGTATTTCTAAAGTAACACCAGCATAGGGTCACTTTGCTTTTTTGACTAGCACATGACACTGATGGTCCCCTCTGAAGCTCCCACAGTCCTTTGTACTGTCTTCTCACACCCTGTACTACAGCAGCTGACATTTTTGTACCCTGAGCCATAGGGTTTTACATTCATCCTTGCTGAGTGTGAAGTGGCATTTCAATCACTGCCATTCTAGATCCTGACCACCCACTTCCCACTTTCATGGTATTGGCACACCATCCCTACCACTATGCAAGTCAGTAAGCAAACCTTTCCAGCTTGACATCATAGATGCCGAACATGCTCCAACTGTGTCACCAAGGCTATAAGCCTATATAGTAGATCGGTAAGAAAGAAAGGCAAGGCAAGCTCAGGAAAATTAATAGTTTGGAAGAACTGAGGTTCTGAGGGGCCCACCACCTTCCAGTTAGCCAATCAACTGGCAGGTCTTGTGGATCTTTCCTTAACAATATTGCTAGCTTGCATGTACACTACCATGCCCCTACTGGTACAAGCTGTCATCAGCACTCACATGGCATCTCCCTTCTCCAATCCATCCTCTCCAATTTCTTGTTGTACAGACCTGACCACATCACTTCTTTGCTCAATAATGTTCAGCAGTTCTCTTCTTGCTGCTAGGATAAATTTCAAAATCTTCAGCTTGGAACTTCAAGCCCTTCACAATACAGCTCCAACCTACCTACCCAGGAACATTAGTTCCCTTTGCAGATTTCATGTTCCAGTCAAACTGGCCTATTTACTGTTCAACTACCTGGATGCTCCATCTCTTTCCTTAAGACCTTGGCATAGGTCGTCTGCATGCCTAAAAGGCCCTTGATGCTCAGAATCCCCATCTGCCCTTAAGGCTTAGCTTACAGGCCATTTTTTATAGGAAATCTTTTGTCATTTCTCTCTCCCTCCTCAAATTAACAGGTACAACACTTATCTGTTTACAGGTTGTATCTTCACTCCTGAGAGAATTCAAGCTACTTAAGAGCAGGGATGGCATCTCCTAAAGGGCCTGCCCTATAACTGCCACTTAAAAAATACGTTTTGGATTGGATTGAAGAAAGGAGCATCAGGTCCATAGGCAGTCGAGGAATCAGGGAATATGTCGCGGCCGCTGCAGTGGTGAGCATGAGACCAGCTCAGTGCTCTGTAACCCGGAGACACATGGATGAGGTGGGAGACAGCAAGGTGGCAGAAGCTCCCTTTATTGAGTGCAGGTAGCTGTCTTTTATAGCCCTAGTGATGCCTGTTCAAAGCGTGATCCCCCTGTGATAGCCAATCATCAGGTCTGCTGGAGCTCGTGTCAGGACTCATCTCCCATTGAGAGGAAAGCCAAACCAACCGTGGGAGCTGCATGTCAGCAAAGGAGAGGTCCTGGGAGACTTCCTTATTTTTGCCACGCAACTATGTTGTGACCCTCAGCTTCTACTGATAGAAGCTAGAACTCCCATGGGAAAGTTCCCTCAACAGAGCTCTCATGAGACCGTGAGACATTCACCCTAACAGGAATACACGGGAAATATACAGAGAGTGAAGGTGAAACCAAAACAAGGCCCAGGGCAAAAGCCTGGTAAGTAGGCAAGGAAATGGGCCCAAGGTACAAGCAGCAAGAACTTGAAATCTCTTTCAGGCAGTCTTATATACTTTCTGCTAGTCAACCAACCAACCAATAAGCAATTAAGTGCCCAATATGTGCCAAGTATTGTGCTGAGCACTAGAGATACAAAGAAATGCAAAAGCCAGTCCTTGCCCTCAAGGAGCTCAGAGTCTAATGGGGGAAAACACCAAGCAAAGAAAAAAGTATAAACAGGATAAATGGGAAATAACAGAGGGAAGGCACTAGAATTAGAAGGGGCTGGGGAAGGCCTCCTGTAGAAGGTAGGATTTTTGCTGGGACTTAAAGGAAGCCCAGGAGGTCAGAAGTTGGAGGAGAAGAGGAGGAGCATTTCAGGCATGGGGGCATCTAGTTTGAGACATCTAATAGATAGCTGATTTGAGTCTAGACATCAGCAAAGAAGTTAAGGCTGGATAAGTAAATTTGAGAATCATCAGCACAGAGATGATAATTCAATCCATGGGAGCCAATGAGATCACCAAGTGAAGTAGGATAGAGGAGGAGAGAAGACCCAGGATAGAGGAGGAGAGAAGACCCAGGAGAGAGTCCTGGGAGAAACCCTCTGAGGGTACAAGTTGGATAAAGGTCCAGTAAAAGAGAGCGAGGAAGAGTGGTCAGATAGAAAGAGAACCAGGAGAGAACTGTACTCCCAAAACCTAGAGAGAATAGAGTATCAAGGAAGACAGGATGATCAACAGTGTCAAAGGCTGAGGTGTCAAAGGAAAGGTCTAGAAGGATGAAAACTGAGAAAGGCCACTGAATTTAGCAATCAGGAGATCACTGGTAACTATAGAGAGAGCAATTTCAGTTGAATGATGAAGTCGGAAAGCAGATTGTAGAGAATTAATAAGAAAGTGAGAAGAGAGGAAGTAGAGGCACCTATTGTAGACCCAGCATTCTCAAAGAGTTAAACCACAAAAGGGAGAGGAGATAAGGTGAATATGGATAGATGGATCAAGTGAGCTTTTTGCAGATGGGGCTGACATGGATGTGTCTGCAGACAGTAAGGAAGCAAGAGACTGAAAGGAGAGAGGGAGGCTGATGGGGGGAGGGTATGCAATCTGTTGGAGAAGATGGGGATTGCTTGTACATGTAGAGGGACTGTTGTTTATCCTTCGTTTTCGAAGAGGACCAATGATATCACAGGTGATGTCTTGACTTTCACATGAATTGGATTTAAGTGAGGCAGAGTTGTCAGCCTCATTCTCTCTTCCAGATTCATCAAAGACCAGTAGAAGAACAGCAACCTCATCATGTTAGGTAGGGGTGAAGGAGAGGGACAGAAGGTATCTGAATAATGTGAGATACAAAAGGATGGGAGAAGAAAGAGCTCTTGGTGAATATCCTCAGTTTTTTCATTAAAACAAAAGACAAGGTTCTCATCTGAGAAGGTGGGGGAAGGTAGAGTCATGGGAGGTTTGAAAAGGTTTGCAAGAGCCTCTGTACAGAGTGGGTTAATTAAGGAGACAAGGCAACAAAAATGGCCTAGCTTCAATGTGGGCCTGGTTGAGATCATGCAACATAAATCTATAGTGGTCCCAGGCACTCGAGTCAGCACAGTTGCATGATTCTGCCAGGGCAAAAACCAATTCCAGCATGTGGCTAATTCAGAACTTCCCAGTGGTAACAGATGAGGCATGTGAGAAATATAGGAAGAAGGCTGACCTGACTGGAGTGGGGAATGTAGGGTTTGAAATAAGGGCAGATCCAAGACAGGATATTGGCCTGGAGAGATAATGAATCTGATCCAGTAGACTTTTTCTTGTGTTCTTAGGCTGCAGACTAGCTAGGCTTAACTACAGAAGTTCTGGGACTCAGGTTGAATTGACAGTACTTTTGAAGCCAAAAGCCCACATGATGCTGATATCTATTCAAAGAACTATGCCAGTCCAAGATATCCATGAGTATTTAACTAATAAATAAGAACAACTCCTACTTCTAAAACACTTTAAGGTTTACAAAGTGCTTTCCTCATAACTCTGTGAAGCAAGTAGTGCAACTACATCAGAACAATCCACTTTTGTTAAGGTCTGGATTTCTATGCAAAACCATCTAGAGCAGCACTTCTTAAACTGTGGGTCACAACTCCATATGGGGTTGCAACCCACAGTTTAAGAAGTGCTGAAGGGGTTGTGTATGAAATATCCATTTTGAGGTATACTGCCCAGCAATGAGCAGTCATGGCCTTTTCTCAATTCTCATTCTCCTTGACCCTTCTGCAGCAGCCTTTGACGCAGCTGATCACTCTCTTCTCTTGAGGTCTTAGGGATACTCACCCCCTCCTCCCTGGTTCTCCTCCTACCGCTCTACCCATTCCTCCTCTGTCTCCTTTGCTAGATCCTCCTCCAGATCACACTCTTTAACCATAGGTGTCCCCCGGGGCTCTGTCCTGGGCCCTCTTCTCTCTATCCTATTTCATTTGGGGATCACATCAGCTCCCATGGATTTAATTACCATCTCTATGCTGATGAGTCTCAAATCTACCTTTCCTGCCCATTCTCTCTGCCGACCTCCAATCTCACATCTCCAACTGCCTTTCAGACACCTTGAACTGGATGTCCAGTCAACACTTTAATCTCAACATGTCAAAAACGAAAGTCTTTTCCTCTAAACCTACCCCCAACCCCTGCCACCTTTCCTATTACTGTTGAAGTCACTACCATCCTCCCAGTCCCCCAAGCTCACAACCTAGGAGTCATACTGGACTCCTCACTCTCTCTCACCCCCACATCCAATCTGTTGCCAAAGGCTGTCAACTGCCCCTTTGCAACATCTTTTGAACACACTGCCTTCTCTCCTCTGACACTGATTACAGTGCCTTTGGGGCAGGCCTTCATCACCTCACACCTGGACTATTGCAAGAGCCTTCCGGTGGGTCTGCCTGCCTCAAATCTCTCCTCACTCCAGTCCATCCTCCATTTAGTCACTAAAATGATTTTCCTAATACGCAGGTCTGACCACATCACCCCCTACTCAATAAACTCCAGTGGCTCCCTGTAATCTTTAGGAATCGAAAATCCTGTTTGGCATTCAAAGCCCTTCATGACCTGGCCCTCCTATCTTTTCAGTCTTCTTATACCTTACTCCCTGGCATGTGGCCTTTGATCCAGTGACACTGGCCTCTTGGCTGTTCCACAAACAAGACCCTCCATCTCTCAGTTCCTGGAATTTTCTCTGGCTATCCTCCACGCCTGGAATGCTCTCCCTCCTCAACTCACCTACTGATTTGTCTAGTTTCCTCTAAGTCCCAACTGAATTCCCATCTTTTACAGGAAGCCTTTTCTAACCCCTCTTAACTCTAGTGCCTTTCTTTGTTAATTATTTCCTATTTATTCTTTGCATAGCTTACTTTTATATATTTGCTTGCATGTTGTCTCCCCCTTTAGACTGCAGTCTTGAGGGCAGGGACTATCTCTTGTCTTTCTTTATATTCCCAGTGCCTAGAACAGTGGCTGGCACATAGCAGGTACTTAATAAATGCTTCCTGACTGACCTGACTGATTCATGCCCAGCCACCTGCTTTGAAGAGATAGGTATCACGGTAGAACTTCCTGGGTTTGAATCACGGCATTGCTATCTGTATCTCAGATTCAGAGGACCAACAAAAAACAGCTAAATTGGAGTTTACAGATATTCTAAAAACTGTAAGGTTCTCAGCACTCTCTAGGTTTATAACTAGAAAAGAAGGTCATGTGGTGAGAGCAACAGCTAGGTATCCAGTGGACAGCCGGGTGGCTCCATTTATCTTGACCCAATGTCAAGAGGTCTAGAGGGAGGCTGCTGTCATTTTGGGCAGACTCCTTGTGGAAGGTTTATGGGAGGACATGGACTATACAAGATGGGCAGCCATGGATGGATTGGGACCTCCACAATCCATGTGAAGGACATAATTACATGAATGCGATCACATGAGATCACAGTGGATACTGAAGTATTTTCATATGGCCCAAGTAGGCTATGGAAATCATTTTCATTATCTTGTCAACCTTTTAGTGAGAAAGGTCCATTTAGAGCAGCTTAGTGACTGTGAAGCAGTTTCTCAGCAGCTCATCTTCTCTAAGGACAACGTGAGCTGCCCATGCTCATAGGAGAGCGTAGAGAAGCTCGCTGAACTTACCATTGCTGCGATGATGATGATGACGGTGAGCTTCAAGTTCTTCATACACATGGCTCTGGCAAGGTTCCTGCTAGTAGTTTTGAAGGTGACTGACTAGAAGAAAATGAGTGAAGAGTTTGATCCATAATATTCAATATTCCATTCTCTCAGTAACTCCTGAAATATATCTTGCTTCTCCCAGAAAGCTCTGTTGAGCATACATATAAAATTAGGCTTGAACATTTTCTTCACTGTTTCTTTAAAACATTTGACTTCTAAGTAGAGAAAGGTGAGCAAGGAATACAAAAGGGGGGGCAGCTAAGTGGCGAAGTGGATAGAGCACCAGCCCTGGATTCAGGAGGACCTGAGTTCAAATCCGGCCTCAGACACATAACACTAGAGGTGTGACCCTGGGCAAGTCACTTAACCCCACTGCCTAGCCAAAAAAAAAAAAAGACATACAAAAGGGGACAAAAATAGTATTTACTCTAAACAGGGCCAATAGCAAGCAATCTGTTTGAAAAAAGGAAACTCAACTTGGGCCCCAAACTTCAGCTCCCAATTGATAATGTCCCCTCTTTCCCTACTGCTGTATTACTGCTACATTTCATTTTGGTCACAGCTATTAAAAGCCCTCCAACTGCTGCCTGGGAAAACACAGATCATATTGCTTCTCAGTGATACTGAACACTGAGGAAGGATGAGAGGTGGGGGAAGGGGACTAAACAAACTTTAGCGGTCTATTGAAACTTGCTCATCCCTATAAGCTTTGGTTAAGGGTTTGTACAATATAGAAAAAATCTTCTGGTTTACCATCTGGGCAACTATGAAAAAAGTCAGCACTTAGTACTCTTTAACAAAGGCTGACACTTAGTTTCAATGCTATTTCTACAACTAAGCTGCTCATGCTGCAATGGTTGAAAGAAAAGTAAAACTTGAATTGGAGTCCATTAATCAGTTCTTGCTAAGGATAGAGAGGCTCATCACCAGGAGACTGCCCACTGGGGAGGACTTCATGGTGATCCATGAAACAAACACAAAATAAGTCTGTGCAGCCTCTGCAGTGACAGTAGGCAAGTGGCAGCAAAGAGTTTTGACAAAGGGCTTAAGAATCCCAGTTTTCCAACTGTCTATAAACTTTAACTTGGCTGTTGGGACTCTAAATATGAGATCCTTGCCTCAAGATCAACAAGTAGAAACACTATTTGAGGACCAGGATCTTATCGATCTTGACATGCTGGCTATAAATAGAGCCAGAAGAAAGAAGGATGTTGGCACCAAATGGAAAGATGGTGTGAGGCACTCCTTGGAGAGGCAAAGGAGTTGACAGAGTTGCCCAAAGGCATACTACACGGTTTTTCATCTCACATTGCACTGCTCCTGATAAGTATCTGCAAAAAATACCATCAGAGAGTCACTGCAACTTATGCACCAACAGTTATTGTAAAGGATGAAGAGGGAGAGACATTCTACATAGAACTCAATAAGACCCTCCCAACTAGGTCAACGGAGGTTTGGTACTGGGACCCTTCAATGAAAAGGTGGGACTAGCAAGGATGGTGAGGAATATACCATACACAGAAACCTCATGCCTCTGCATCATAAACGTTTGAGAAGAGAATTGCTAGGTACTAGACAGGAAGAGCGCTAAGTAACATTACAAAAAGTGAAATGGATTTATATTCTGACAGGAAGTGATTTGTTACTGATGTGGTGATTACTGTTACTCCTGAAGTAGCTATCTATATACACTCAGAGTAGTAGGGAGGATTTTATAGGAGGCAATTTGGTATGGTGGAAAGACCACAGAACTTGGAGTTCCAAGACCTGAGTTCAAATTCCAGCTCTAATACATACTATCTGTGGTACTTAACTTCTGAGCCTCAGTTTCCTTATCTGTCAAACGAAGGAGTTGAATTAGATAACCCCTAAGGCCCCTTTCAGCTCTAGATCCAGGATCCAAAGGGCCTAAAGGGAAGAGGCAGACTTTCTTCTGTGATATGCTAGAGCACACCACAACTTTACTGTCATGCAATTGACTAAGAGATGTTGAGAATACAATGAAAAGCATTTGATTTGATAGAGCAAAGTACCATCTCTTCCAACAAGGTGTCTCCTCCCTATGTATCAAAATTATTTAAGATTTTTTTAAAGATAAAACAACAGAAATAATATAAGATAGGACTTAAAACAGAGAGGGGTATGACTACACAAGGTATTCACTACTATGATGGAGCGGCAATGCAGAGGAGTCTGAACTAACCATCCACACAGAAAAAACCAAGTGGATGAAGAATGTCTATTATCTGTATACTGTACACAGTTGAAAACATGTCTATCAGTATAGATACACTATACAAATGGACATTTAGTTGGGCTCAGAATTAAATAGAATGAGGAGAGAAGGCTTGATTACCTTCAGGAAATTGTAAAGCTCTCTTAATAATACCAAATTTCTCCCAGAAACAAAGGTCTATCTTTTAAATACCAATATGCTACCAATATTATAAAGGTGTGAGACATGGAACATAGTAGTCTTTGAAGAATCAAAAATAAGTATTGCACTAAGGTCAAGGAAAAACTCATGGTGGGCGTGAACAAGCTACAACATAAAAGAAATAAGGAACTTTGCAAAACAGGAGCAAAGGATGTTATTAGGGAATTGCATGATTGAAAAATAAAACAGACTGGTCATGTGGTGAGGGAAAACAGCTGGATAGCCCGTGTTCCCTCTGTAGCCTCCTTGCAATGTGAGGTGACACTGAGGAAGGCCCTCAGCATGTTGGGAGGAATGCTTATGGGAGAACAAGGACAGTAGTTGAATAGGCTGGGCAGGCATGGATGTACTGGAATCTGCACTGGTGGAGGGAACATCCCCAGATCCATCTGAGTACTTGAGTATAATAAAACAGTGGCTTACCTCAACTGCCCATCTGGAAAGCACAGACCACAGTTTCTGTTCAAACCACAAAGCTTTTGATCTCATTCATCCACAAAGAAACTCCACTACTTTACCTTAAACTAAGTCAGGATAACATATCAAAAGCTAAGTTGATTCAAAACTAAAGAAAGATTTTTTAAAATCTATACAATATAAGAGAGGTAAACAAGCATTATTCATGTCCACTCTTTAAAACCAATCCCAAATGTTTCTTTTTTTAAAAAAATCTAATCCCAGCCTAAATCTGGTGACCTAATAGGGAACTTAGCAACACTCTCTTTTATTTTCGATCCACACAGACTATGAAAGAGCTACATGAGTTGCACTTGGCTGCATTCTGGCCTTTTCTTGAAATTTAATATGCATTTATTAAGCACCTATTATATGCAATGAATGGTGCTGGTCATTAGAGGAAATACAGAGATAAGATAGTCAGATCCACTATCCCCAAAGTCTGAGTCTTCTTATAAAAAATTTGTAAAGAGATAAAGACACTAAAAATTGGAATGCGAAAAGTAAATAAGAAGAGAACAAAGTGCTACTGACATAATATGGGATGGAGAAATCACTTTCAGTAGCCAGGGAAACTGGGAAAGGCTTTATGAAAAAGATGGCAATTTGAGCTGAACCTTGACAACAAGCACATCCAAACGCACCCACGTTCTCCAAACTGTTTGCCTAGCTTATCTAAAGGGCACGGTATACAACAGCTCCCTGTTATCTCAAGCTGAAAAGGTCAGTTCATGACATTGTAGAATGCCTTCAGTAGCAGACACATGCCATGGTTTCTCATTTTCCAAATGCAGGCTCCCTGGACATTCTGACAAGAAGTGAAATGGCCCACATAGCCAAGTCATGGACAATTCTGTCCTCTGGGGGAAAAAAAGTTTATTTCTATGTAATAAGGGAGCCCTCTAAAACAAATCTTTATTGACTATCAATGGGGTAAAGTTCTTATTCCTGCCTTTCATTTATCCTGTCTAGCTCCATGTAGACAAACAAGTGTGCCTGTTTAAAGAATTAAGGTAAGGAGAGGGGAGGATTAAGAGAAAACAGAGAGGAGCTGCTTCAGTCTGAGAAGAAAACCTGTGTGCCATCTCAGGGAGGAACTTGGAAAGAAAAGAAACTGGAGTCCTATGTTGGACCTCCCAGTTCTTTCCTGACTCCAAATGGTACAATTCAGGACCCTGGGGAAGATCATGAGTCCCCCTGAGGTCAGTGGGCTCACTGACTATTCATAAGGAAGAGCTTCACTTTTACAATCCAGACCAAGCTGTTATTCACTGGCTTCTGGAAGGATGGGCCTGGCCAATGGTGAATGGACAGGGGCAAAAATGAATATGCACTGCTATCTGGTTTGTCTATAGCTTTACAGATGGCTTTGCTACTTCCGCCTATCTCTGTCTTATATTAGTGTACTTTGGATCTCCATGTCCTCCATGTCTCATAATGGTTAGCAAGAACTATGACAGACACATAGTTCTCAACAAGCATATGAAATGTGACCCCAGAGTAAAGGGCATATGGCAACTGATTTTCCCAAGTGATTCTCATTTCCCTAAATCTGTCTTGCTTTAAGGCTACTCCAGGCAAGGCCAGTCTTCTACATAAGCAGAGAAGTGGCTACTAGCCAAGCTGACGTAATCTGAGGGGGGCCAGGAAGGCTTCAAAGAACTGTGATCTCATCAGTGTGGATGCTCACTCCACCAATGCAGATCACAACCCCTCTAACTTCATGAGTTTGTGGCCAAAAAAAAAAAACCCCAAAAAACCCCCACCCCAAATCAAAACCCCAAAACCAACCACATACTTGGTCACCAGCTTTCCCCACATAACAGACACATAGTCTGTCATCAAAACCTTTCTGTCTTGGCAGGCCTGGCCAGAGCTTGCCCAGCTTTTGAGAACCTAGTTATCACCTCCACACCATGAAGAGGCATTGGAGGAAGGCTTTAGTGGAGAATCTCTCTATATACACACACACACACACACACACACACACACACACACACACACACACACACACACACACACACACTCTCTCTCTCTCTCTCTCTCTCTCTCTCTCCCAGCAGCGGTTACAGTGCCCCAAATTCCATCATTAGGGATTCATTCCCTTGGGGCTTATGAAGGTACTCCTTCCTAAGCTAATGGGAAAGGTGTTAGCTTATAGAGATACCTGATAAAAGGTATGGTTAAAGCCCAAAGTCCTTAGTCGTGCATTCAAGGCCTCTCCAAACTGGCTCTGGCCAATTCTGGCTTTGGCTCCTACTACCTCCTTTCCACATTCTTAGGACAAAGTCAATTAGGTTTCTGAATTACTCTCTGTCCTTCAGGTTTCCTTAGTCACAATGTGTCTGTCCATAATGTCTTCACCCACCTTCAAAGTCCAACTCAAAGGCTGTCATGAAGCTTTCTCTAAGCCTTTGAGCTGAAAGTGATTTCTCCCTTATGTTTGTACATGTCTTTTCTCTCTCTTTGAACATGTAAGCTCTTTATCGTCAGGGACTTACCTTACTCATCTTTGTATTTCCCCAGTATACTGCCTAGCACACAGTAGAAAGCATTTAATAACAGCTAATCTGTTTTGGAACCATACTTTGGAATTTTCCCCAATGACTCAGCCATCAAATCAAATGTGGTTCTTGCAAAATACTTACTGAATCTACCAGATGTTCTGTTTTATCTATCAGTAACTCCAATCTTTCTCCTCGTTGGGCCACTAGATCTGGGGAGCAGAGGCGGAGAGAGGGGAAGGGGAGTAGCAGCAGAATAGGGAAATAGAAAAGAAAAAGGCCAGTTTTAAAATTCTGCTATTTTTGTTTTTGGTTATAACCAAATTTGTCTGATTCCACGGCTGGCACTCTTGCCAGTGTTTGTTCACTACAGAATCAATCATACCCTTAAATGACTGGAAGGAATAAAAAAGACCAAAACATCATCTCTCTCTATAAAGAGATAACTACTATTGCAAAATGTGAGGGAGATATGGAAGTGGCTTATCCAATAATTTCTCTCACCTTTTTAATCATTTCTATCTAATCTAATAGTTCTCTAATCATTTTTAATCAAATGCCTAAAAACTAACAACTATTCCCAGCTATTAATATTCAAGCTATTAATAAAAGATCAAATTTAGGAACTAAAATTCAGATCCCCTTCAATAATGTCATCTTGAAAGATGATCAATTTAAGTACCACTCAACAAAAGTTATGAGTTAACTTTAAACTGCTTAGCATAAACTAGTCTTGTAAGGTTTTGGAGAATAAGCTTGGGTTTGAGAGAGTCAGGACAAAAATGGACTCCACAAGTTGGAAATTCTGATAGACTTCTTTTTTTTAAAAGCATTGAAACTTCATGTACACTTTTCTCTCTACAAACTTCTACTTCTAAGGAAATTATAGTTTAAGGTATAGATTCACAAGATCTTTACCTCACTCTATTTTTTTTTTAATTACTTACCAATGTAACACCTCTGACACTGTTAAACTATTGTGGTCTTTTGGGGGAATTTGTCTTGCTCTGTATCTAAGCGTGGTCAGAAGATACAGAAGAGATATAAAACATGTAGGTAGGGTCACACATGATCTCCCTGAGTGAACAACTGTGCTTGGGGGTAAACAGATGGGGAGAATCTTTCTAGCCAGTGCAGAATCCTGATGAGCCCAAGCAGTTTGGCCCCAGCCCCTCCATTTGCCCAGAGGCTTCTCCTACTAGACCACAAACCATACCAATGTTCCGGACCATGATTCCTTTTAGTTCATCCACTTGGGCTTGAGTCTCCACCACTTTGTCCACGTGTTTGTTCTCAGAGTGATATTTCTATAAGAAAAGAAGGTTTATATGAGGCAACCTAACCACATGCAATGAAAACTTGTTTATTACACTGCAAAAATTAGCAAGAATGACAAGACCAGGAGAAGAAGTGTGTGGAGTAGCTAAGAAGTATATATAGCCTGCCTCTTGGTCAGAAACTTCATCATCACAGGTAGAAATAACACAGAAAGCAGAAAGAGACATTACTAGAAATAAAAAAGGAAGTATTATGGTACTAAAACATTTTATACTAAGGAAAAAATAACCAAAAAAATGTACAAGAAAATATAAAACATACATCTGGGAGCCTGGGAGTAGAAAATGGGAAGGAGGCAGAGGAAGAATAAAGATCATTTAATATGATAGGGGAAAAAACACAAAACATAACCCAGGAATGAAACAAGAGTTGAGAAGCTTCGACATTGGGTCATCATTCATCCCTCTTATCCCTCTCTTGACCATAAGATGGTTTAAACATTTTTGTGTTCACCTCTGATTACCTGGCACCATTTTCAATTTGTGTGTGTGTTAACATAAGTTAGAAAATATGATATCGGCACTTTCAAACATGGTGTCCATTGATTGAGGAATAGTTAAAAAAAAAAAACGATAAGTGGATGTAATGGAAGAAATATCATATACATATGATGGGGTATGGGCCCAAGCCGAGACCTCTGCCCCTTGCCCCAAAAAGAATTTGGCTCCCATTTGTCTACCGGCCCCAGAAAACCCTTAAACTTTTCTTACTCTGGTCTCAAAGGGTTGTTTATCAATTCTTCTTATCTCCCTTTGAAAGCCCTAACCCTACCTTTTGATCTTATTCAGATGCCTTTCAAACTTCTACCTACCTGTTCCTCTCATTATCTATTCTCATTGTCTATTCAACCTCTTAGACATTCCAATGGGGATTCTCACCTACACCCTTTTCCCGGCCCCTTCCCTGGTCACCCAAAGTTACTTTAGTGTATATAAGATCCACCCTGTCCCCCATTTAAACGCTGAGACTCTCTCATGCCCAAAAGGCTGAGACTTTCTCATGCCTGCTTATCCTTACGGGCATCACCTGGCCTATATGGTTGATCACTAATAAACTTTTTCTCTGGCTGAAAGAAGATTTGGGTTGAATTCATTCCGGCAGGGCCCGCATCGTGATCTTGGGGGGTGGAGGGGGTGTCCCAGCACCCCTAAACCTCTAGACCTCATCACATATATGTATATGTATATAAATACAATAAACATAAAGAATTCAGAGAAGCAGGAAAAGGCAGCCATGTGAGCTGATGCAGAGTGAAGTCTAATTAGAAAATGATAGAGATGATTGTAAATCATGATCATGTAAATGAAAAAAAATAACAAAAAAGGAAATTCATCATTGTGTTATTATTATGGCCTCACTTGGCCCATGTCCCTCCCTCCCTTCCCTGCAGAGGTAGAGGACCACAGGTATGAAGAAACTGTATGTACTATCAGACCTAGACGGTGTGTCTGAGCAGGGTTAACCTGAGGTTATGAAGTTGTTTTTAAAATATTCTGATAATTGTATTTAAACATAATTAGTTTCCCTTGTAATCCTATGTATTTTATTTTAAGCATTTAAAAATATTATTCTGAGGGGGCAGCTAGGTGGTGCAGTGGATAGAGCACTGGCCCTGAAGTCAGGAGGACCTGACTTCAAATCCGGCCTCAGACCAAACACTTGACATTTACTAGCTGTGTGACCCTGGGCAAGTCACTTAACCCCAACTGCCTAAAAAAAAAAAATAGTATTCTGAGAAGAGAGATCCACAAGTGTCACCAGACTGCAAAGGGGAACAGGATACAAAAAAGGTCAGAAAAAGGCACTTCTAAAAAGCTCTCTTTTGTATTTTATCCTTTGTTAGAAGGGATACCTTCAGGAAGAAACCTTTAGAAAAGATACATTTAGAATGAAGGGGATTTAAAAGCCTAAATATAATTTTTTTAAAAAACAGGAGGTTGGTAAGCTCTTTGTGAACCCATATCAATTTCTTCAGAATGGAATTCGGAAGAGAGGTTAGGCTGGATTTATATATTTGGCAGTCATCAATCAATCAACATTTATTAAGCACCTACTTAAGGCACTCAGTTAAGCACAATCGAATGCAAAAGGAGGCCCTCAAGGCCTTACAATCAAAAGGCGAGACAATATGCAAACAAATAAATACAAAGCAAGCTAAGGACAAATAGGGAATAATTAAAATAGGGAAGGCACTAGAATTAAGAGCCACTGGGGAAGACTTCCAGTGGAAGGTCATGTTTTGTTGGAATTTAAAGGAAGCCAAGGGAGGTCAGCAGTTAAGAGTGGAAAAGGTAGAGCAAGCATTCCAGACATGGGGGACAGCCAGAGAGAATGCCCAGAGCTGAGAGATAGAGAGGCTTGTTTGTGGGACAGCCAGGAGGCCAGTGTCCAAGAGTTCATGAAGGGAATAAGGTGTAAGAAGATTGGAAAGAGAGGAGGGGGGCTAGGTCACTAAGGGCTCTGAATGCCAAACAGCATTCAGCAAACAGTATTTGATCTTGGAGGCAATGGGGAGCCACTGGAGTTTATTGAGTAGGAGGGGGACGTGACCAGACCAGCGATTTAGGAAAATCACTTTAATGGATGAATGGAGTCATTTGCAGCAAGAAGATCTTTGTGAGCTAATGAGGTCACCAAGGACATATGCATGGAAAGAGAAGGGAACACAACCTTATGAAAGCGAAAAGTCAAGAAGGATTTTGACTGAGAAAAGGCCATTGGAAATGACAATTAAAGAGATCATTGGTAACTTCTGAGACACAGTATCTTCAATCAAGGAACACAGTCAGAAACCAGATTATAATGAATGCAAACAGTCTAAATCCAAAGTTAAGGAAATCATCCAAATGGTAAATCTGGCCTTTGCCCCAGATACTCTGACTTCAAACTCAGTACATGATGCCACAGGGCACTCCTTCACAGGGTGAAGGAATCTTCTAAATCTCTGATTCTATGATCTAAAGGGACTGGAATAAAGACTGGAATTTCAACTGTCGTACTTGGCTGACATTTTCACTACTTCTAACTCAAAGAATTTCTGAATTAGAAAAGGACCGCCATGGTCATCTACTCCTGACCATACCTGAAAAAGAATCCCGACTCTAACACTTGACAAGTGCTCATTCAGTCTCTGCTTGAAGATCTCCAAGAAAGAGAAACTCACTATCTCTCTAAGGCAGGACTTTCCACTTCTAGACAGCTCAAACTGTTAGGAAGTTTTTCCCCAACATCAAACTTCTTTGCAAATTCCACCACTGCTCCAAGATGATCTCTCAGAGGCCAAACAGCACACGTGTAAACCCAACAGTCCTTCTGAGTCTTCCCTTCTCCTCAGATTCCTCATAGGACATAGAACATGAACTTAAGGCTCTTGGCCATCATGGTAGACCTCTGGACTCTCTTAACCTGAGGTCCATGAACTTGTTTTAAAAAAGACTGTGATAATACTACTTCAATACTTTGTAATCTTATATATTTTATGTATTTAAAAACATTATTCTGAGGAGATCTGGCTTCACCAGACTTGCCAAAGGGATTGACGACACAAAAAAGGTGAAGAACTCTAGTCTAGCTTCTAAGGATCCTTCCTAAACCCTAACCCTAACAGAACACAATAGTACAGATGAGGTGTGATCAAGGCACAGCACAGGACTCTTGCCTCCTTATTCCTGGAAACTCTGCCCTTTGGAATGCAACAGCCCAAGATCACTGGGCTGCCTCACAGGGTCACTCACAGGCAGGTCACTAAAGCTCAAAGAACTTTTTGAGACAAACTGATGTCCAACCATGTTTTCCCCATGGCATCAGGGAACAGTGGAAGCTTACTGGATTTGAAGCCAGAGGACTTGGTACAAAGGCTAGATCAGTCATTCACTACCAATGTGCCCTTGACTGGATGAGTGAGCTCCTTAAACTCTTTAGGCTCCATTTCCTCATCTGTTAGATGAGGTCTCTAGCCCTTTATCTAGTATTCTATTAGCCTAGGACACATCTGGTACTTGAAGTTGAGTTCTGGAACCCAAGTATAAGACTTTATGCCTACTGAGTTTCATCTTATTAAATTCAGTATAATGTTCTAGTGATTAAGAGCTTTTGGGATCCTAACTCTGTAGTTCAATGTGTTAGTTTTCCCTTCTAATTTCCTGTTACCTGTAAAACTGGTAAGCATATCTAGGCTAGGCTTTCATCCTAGGCATTGATAAAAATGTTCAACAGCATGAGGTCAAACACAGATCCCTGTGACACTCCACTGAAGATATCCTGCCAAGTAGATATTGACCCATTAATGATTACTCTTCAAACCTGGCCTTTCCAACAGTTCCAAATCCATCTTCTTGTGTTACTGTCTAACACAATAATGTTGTGGATGTTAAATGAACTCCTCTCTGTGCAATAATGTATTCTCAAACAATGATAAATAATATGGGGGGATCTTGTTCTATTAGAGGTTCCCCTGAATGAGCAAGAGAGCAAAGGTTATTCTCTGTACACCTGGTGGCTACCTTGGGGCCTAAACCCTCAAAATGATGACAATTACATCCCTATAGTGCTGGCATTTCAGGAAAGTTTGTGAAGTGCTTTACAAACAAAAACTCATTGGTACTCCCAACAACCACCCTTTGAGGAAGGGCAGATACTACAGAGTGGAGGAAACTGAGGCTCAAAAAGCAAGTAAGTGTTGAATGCTATTTGAATTCAGGTCTTTAAACCTAGCTCTATCATTACATTAAAGGCAATGACCAAAGGAATAAATAAAACAAAATTTTTTAAAATTAAAACTTTAATCACAAAACAATATCCCTCCTATCTTTTAAAGCCCAATTGTGTAGCGTAATGAAGAATGTGCTGGATTCTGAGGCAGCAGAGACTTGGATTCAAATCCAACCTACCACCTGTATGATCAGAGATAACCAACCACTTCAAGGAGCCTTAAGTTTCTTCATAGGTTAAATGCTAACACTACTACTAA